CGGGCCCCCTCCGTCACGGGCCCTGTCGGGACGCAGTGGGACGGGACGGGACGGGACGGGACGGTCCCTCTCGCAGGGAATAAAAGTGCGTGTTAGAGGGCTGCGGGTTGTTGGTTTGACCGTGATGGTGACCCTACATGCTCGTGCTCTGTGTTTTTTGGGGCGGGGGGTTGCTTTCTTGTTTGGCTTGTTTGCTTTCATTTTTAATGAAGTTCCCAGCCAGGCAGCCGTGGTGCTCGGTGTGTTTTTGTCATTTCAGATCCTGCCCGTGGCCCACACGAAAATACATCCCGATCAGGTAGCACAGCCGTGCCGTCGCCTGTGCTGCCCGCGTGCAGCGCGCTTGCCTTGGGCTGCCCTTGGGAAAAGAGCTGCCGTGAAGCAAACATGAAGCCCACAGAGATCCCCCGAAAGGAGGAGCTCTTAAAACTGAGGAAAACTGAAAATAAAAATAATACATATATATATATCTTTATAATACAAGAGTTTGCTAGAAGGGAAGTGTTTTAAAAACTGTATTTTGTGATGGTATGTAATTCCTCTCTTGCAGACATTGCTCATAATTTTTGAATGTAATGTTTACCTTTATCCCTTTATTTTGTCTGTCACTTCATGTTTTGTCTCAGAAACTAGGTGAAAGTGTTCAGCAGCTCCTTCTAGCAAAAATTGCGGTCTACTTGATGACCTTCTTAATAGTCACAGTGGCATGGGCGGCTCACGTAAGGTAGGAGCCCTGGGGGTGTTTAATTCCGCTACACTGTTAAAGAAAAGCTGTTGTTTAGAAGGATGGGAGAAAACCATGTATCCGATATTTCTGTTTTGGATTATCTTTTGTTGGATAATACTAAAAAGAAGCAATATACAATGGAGTGACTAAATGTACTTTTACACCACTGAAAGAGCAAGATAAAGAAAAAAACAGTATCTTACCTTTAAAACAAGTGTTGTCACTTTAAAGCTGGAATTATTCTTCATTTAACTTCATATTCTGGATGGCGTTAAACTTTTATTTGTGGTAAAACAGCATGACTTCTTAAATGGTGTGCTGCACAAGTAGAAGGACTTGGAAAGTAGGTCCAAAGTTTGTCTTTTGCAATACTCAGCAGCACTTCTTACCAAGTTGGCATTGCAGATGCATTTTATAGAGCGCTGGACACTGCTTCCTACCCATTTATTATTATTTAAAAAGAATTAACATACTGCTATCTTTAGGGGGAAGATAGGAGGGGGCTAGCAATTTTGGTCTACTGCCATAGTATGCAGAGGGCTTCTGTTCTTAAGAACAAGGAAAAGTTTGTCATATTTCCATTCCCTTAAAAGACAGTTTTGATTGTGTTCTAATGAAGCCACTAAAAATTACTGTGCTTTCTTTAGAGGTCACTTAATGGAGCCAGTTTTTGTTTATCTTCTCCTAATAGCTTGCTTTCTCAGTAATTTCAAATATTTACAGTAATTAAATAGCACTCAGCTATAACCCAATCATTTTTTTTCCCTGCAAACTAATAACCTGATCTGTAGAGAGCACCCTTCAAGGGCTAATAGGTCAGCTGAAATGTTGCACTCACAAATTATTGTATATTAGAAAGCTATGAATGGATAGTGCAGCTCTAAGGAAGCATGACCTGAGAAATTTATATTATGTCAAATCTGAGATTTTCTCAAGATCTAGGTTAGTATCATTTTAACTTTGCATCTTACTGTCTGCAGCTTTTGGAATCAGGACACTTTTCATTTGGATTTAGTAACTTAGATATTCTACCATACATTTTCTTACCTTTAAGTAAGTGGATTTACCAGTCTCTAAGAGGTGTGCAACCTTTAATTCAATACCTGCAATTGATATTTCCCATTAATGCTTTAATCACCATTCCCATTCTTCGTCTGCATAAATAAATGTTCAAGAATAGTTTTAAAATACGAATATTTCTCTGGACAAGGAACTTCACTGACAGACTGGGGCAGATGGGGAAAAAGCTGATTTTCTATGTGCACTAACAATGGTGCTGTATATTCACAAGAAGTGATTTTAAGCCTTGATATACTGAAAAGATTTAGGTTCTGAAAGCATAAGCTCGGTTACGTTTTTTCAAGTCAAATTTGGTGAAAATGAAAATAGTAGTTCTTAACAAGAGCATATGAGACAGAGACACGTGAGACAGACAAGCTGGAGAGTCTGCATGCTCCCTGAGCATCTGGATCTGCTCAGGAAAAATCTGTTGCAGAGCTGAGCTTATTTTGAAAAGCTAAAAATCAGTCTGATACCTATATCTTTTATTTTGAGATGTGAATGTCAAGTAGACTTGTTCAGGTTCTCGTTTGAGTGGCAAAGTGTCCACTGTGAAAGTTTGTCTGTAATTTAGCAGTATTTGCATGAGCAATGAGCATGGGCTGCAAGTCTTAGTTCTGGGCCTTACCCATATTCAAGTGAATCAGTATTTGGTTGATAACTAATAACAGATGCCCCATAGGTCCTGAGTTTTATGCAGTTTCCCTAGCAGTTTCCTGGCAATCCTGTGCTGTGGGAGAAGGCAACCAAGTAGCCTACTCTGTGACTTGGATGCATTTTATCCATTTTAAAATGAAGGGGCAAGTCCTAAAGAAAGTTGTCATCAGTTACTGTCTGGTAACTCTCACTCTCAAAGATCCCATTTTCCCAAGACTCAATATCCATTTGTAGCTCTCGGCCTTATTAGGAATTTGGCGTGTGACTCCGTGGGCCAGGGCTGACATCGGAATCACTTTCTTACAGGTTGAAATGGTTCTTCAACAGTGAAATTGGCTATTCAGCAGAGGATACAGTTTCAGGAGCAGAGAAAGGACAGAGGAGAGGAAAAATAATAAAAAGGACATTTCAATAATTATTATTCTGCCTGTCTTTATTAGGCTCCCCTATAGAATCACTGCTGTAAAATTTGTGGACAGTGTTGTGATGCATATTTTGGGGAACTGTCATGTTCATGGTCTTGCCTTGTTTTGGCAGGCTGTTTCAGGTGATAGAGCTCATAGATGATGTCCTTGCTCTTCTAAATCTGGTGAGTCTTGTTAGTATATTTCACGTTCAGCTACCTGGTAAAGGGCTGACTTTTGTTTTGAGGTTTTGTTTTTGTTTTTTGTTTTTTCTTGCATGTTTATATCTCAATGCCAGAGAGCTTCTAGTTTAGGTAATGGATCTCCGCCAAAATTTCAGTCCAGGAAGACAGATTCTGAGTTCCTTTTTGCCAAAGTGTCTGCTAACTAACTGCTTTTTTTATGAGTGATAAGCCCAAAGAAGTCCTGCACCAGATTAGCCTGAAACTCATCTGAGTGAACGGAGGAAAAAAGCTCTTGACACTCATGATTTCTATGGCATCTGTCCTCTATGCTTAAGAAAATGGAATGCTAGGTCTTTTGATGAAAAAATTATAATGGTGAATCTGAACTACAGATATGGTCATAGTTATCTTTCTATTAAAATTCCTCAGGAGTTCTTTCTCCAGTATATTTGAAATATATGGCTATATAATGTTTCAAAACTATCTCTCACTGAGACACCAGTAGTGTCTTTGGATCGTTTTTTTTAAGCTTTAATCTGGCTTAAATGTTACTTATTTAAACAAAACATGCAAACAAAAGCCGCTTCATTAATTTCAGAGCATATTTTGTTTAATGAGCCACATAGTAATATTTTGTTTACTGTTATAGTGGTGAACATATTCCCGTTTTCATGGAGAGCTTTTCTCTTACTGTATTGCTTAAAATTCTGTTGCCTGACTCTGTGCGTACATTCAGTTCATTTAATTTTTGATAATAAAAATCTTAAATTCTTTTAAATAACAGAGGTAACCTTGTAGTTCTTTTTTAATATAGCTTTTAAAGCAATGCATTTTTGTATGTTTGAGTTTTTGCTTTTTTTTTTTGATTTGGCTTTTTTATATTTGAATTAGGAAAACAATGATTTTCAGAGGTGAATATCAGAATATTTTCTTTTGGAGGAAGCATTTGTTTAGGAGGAAAAATGGCAATGTGTGGTACTCTTGGCATTGCTATTCTAGAGGAAGTCTGGAAGAAACATAGGCAATATTTTTTTGTGTGTTACTGATAACAAAACTCCAGCTATTTCTAAAATCAGCCTATGTCATTTGGATAATGAATCTAGAAAGTGAGTATTGGAGCTCTGAAAAACAAAACTGGCAACTCAGGACTAGCCAGTGCTGGCAGACATAGCCCTGCCACTTTAGTAATGTCTTTTCTTGAAGAAGCATATGTATTAAACCAGTTTGTGTTGCGTTTTCTAGACACATCTTGAATGACTGTATGACTTGCCAGGCTGTATTTTAAGCTTTTGCTTTTCACTGTTTCACTTTTATTTTTGTTTAGGCTTGTATGATGATCATAACTTTCTTGCCATACACAGTAAGTCATTTTCTATTATTTTACTTAGGTTTAAATTACAGGATCTTTCTTTCTTTAGGAAGACTTTACCCAAAGTGTTCAGGAACTCAGGAGAGCGTTACTGTAGTGTAAACTCTGAATCCACTGCAAGAGTTAATGGTGTAATCTTGAACTGCTACAGGCAATAGATCTGGCAGAAAATGGCTATTCTTGAAAGAAGTTGGCAGTAGGGGAAAGTCATATCTTCTTGGAATCTTTGAAAGAGTCCAACTGATTAGAATTTTGCATTTTATAAGGGAAATTATGTTACAAATTTCTTAGATTACGAGATAAGTTGCTGTGCTAAACAGAACTCTTGCTCACTTTTGACTTATTCAGCAATGTTGCTTCTGGCACAGGCAACCTCCATTGTTAAATCTTCCGATTTGGTATTTAGGAGGAATATGTGCAGCCAAACACTACAGCAGCAGAACTGAGCTGTTGCTTAAAATGCTGGTTGACTCATTGTGTGAGTACAAAAAAAAAAAAACTTATGAAAAGACTCTGTTTCAGCATGGATTCTGTGTGTACATTTTATAAAAATGTAGTTTTATATATATATATATTTATAAATATTTTTGTATGAGTGTGTATATGTATATATTTTTACCATATTGCTTCTTAATTGAAATTTTAATCTGGCTGCATTTTTCCTTCCAGTTTTCTCTAATGGCCTCCTTCCCAGATGTACCTTTTGGCATTTTCCTGTTTAGTGTCTGTGCGGTCATCATTGGTCTTATCCAGGTATTGGAGCTATGCATTTACATTCACTCTTTTCAAGACTAGATTTTCGTAGGTAAAACTAAAATTGAGTTTATGAAGCATGAATATAAAATGCTAGGGGTCATTTTTGTTTGTGTGGCACTGGTTTGCAAAGTTGTGCCTGCTGTGATGCTGAATGGTTGTGTAGCCACTGTGCTGTGGACCTGATTTATGCAACCAAATCGGCTGATCCCGAAGTCCATTGAATTGTAAGTCCTTCCCCCCTCGTTAAAAACACATTTGGGAAGTAGCAGTTTGTGTGCTGCATTGATCTTCCCTGCTGTGGTTCTTGTTGGGCTGCCCAACGTGGGCTGAGAGTCAATGGACGCGGATATTCTGCTTCAGCTTTCATTGCTTTCCAGATGGCAGAACTCTCCCCCTTGGGGCAGCGCCTTGTTCTTTGCTGTTTCCTATTGTGGAGGTCTTTCTTGCTCCTTATTGTAAGATCTGGGGTCATGACAAGCTCTGCAGGGCAAATTAAGGTCCTCATGTGTGATATACTGGGAAATCCCTGAGTTTACAAGACCAGCCCTCCATGTGAAAGGGTAGAATAACAACAATTTCAACATGTTGGAATTGGCATTTCAGAATTTCATGGCTTCGTAGTTAAAACACTGTGTATAGTATGTGACAATTTCAGTAATGCTGTTCTCTTTGCAGGCACTGATAGTAGCCTATGGATTCTATCACCCTCACTTACTAAATCAACAGATACAAGTATCTGAAAACCAGAACTTCTATAAACGTCATATCTTAAAGATTATTTTAAGAGGACCGATTTTATGCTTTTTAGCAGCCATCTTTTCTTTTTTCTTTATCCCTTTGGTAAGTTCTTTTAAAGAGTTCCCTCTTTAAAATGACTCATTAATGCAGAAATTGGATGCAGCAGTTTGTATTAGCTATATTTAGGACTAAGCATAAAAAAAAATTATACTAAATGTGCAGAATTTCTGTGTTGCTAGTTCTATGGTGATACAATCACAACTGCTGTTGTCTGATGAAGACATTTGTTCAGAGAGCCATCTATGAATTTGGGTAGTCTGTAAAACTCCTGGTATCAGGAATATTGGTTTTGTTTTCTCTGCCTTTTTTTTTCTATTACTCTTTAAAAGTAAATCTTTAAAAGTATAACTCAGCTGCTTGCTCATAAGAAGTAGGTGGGATAATGTGAAGAGCTACTGGAGTTAAACATTCCCTAAAAACTTACAGAAACGTTTTTGTTTATCTTTAGTTTTTGTGGCAACAAGCAGAATAAGTAGATCAGATATCCAGCTTACATCAAAAACAAATGTTTTTGGCTAAATTCTGCTCTCAGCTGCTCTCCTCACCCTGCT